CCATTATCAATAGAAAACATTAAAAGGGTTTTTGGGGCATTTACCTTGAGTTTGGGAGTTGTAGTTCACCTACAGCCAGAGACCACTGTGGACTCAAACAATGATGGATCTGGACCAAACTTAGCACTAATATTCCATATGCGCAAATATGCACACAAATAGAGCTTGGGGGAAATAGACCTTGACATTTGGGGTTTGTAGTTACTGGGACAGCTAGTCTATATAAATAAAAATGTTATGTTCATTTGTGGGATTAACATAACTCAAAAACCACTGGACCAATTGACACAAAATTTGGACACAGTACACCTCTCAGGCCAACAAGTGACCATCACTCATAAAAACACTGAAAAACACAGCACAAATGACTTAAAAAGCAAAAAACCCCATTACAACACAAAACCACATATATACACATACACACATACATACATACACACAATACACACATACACAGATTGGGCCATAGCAAGACAATAAATCAACAACATTCCATAGACCCAAATTACAGAAATATAAGTAAATAATAGCTATTATCCATTGTTGTTCCATAGTTAGTTTGGCTCACTTCATACTTAGATTTTCAGACGTGTTAAGATCACTAGTGAATAATGTGTTTTTCTTGGCTCTTTCTAAAGCTTCCCTCATGTGGTGACTTCTGGTATTTACCAAAATCTAGGATTTTACTGTAAGCGAAAAGCCAGATTTCTAAGCCTCACTGTATATCCAATATTATTTCGTCTTTGGAAACAAAAGTTGCGATTAACACAGTTAATGGTAGCTTATTACTGTATATACTTGAGTTTTTCAGCCCTTTTTTTAGGCTGGAAAAGCTGCCCTCGGCTTACACTCGAGGGGTATTAATAATAATAACAGAGTAAAATAATAAATTTGCATGTTTTCAAACTGCTAGGTTGGCAGAAACTGGGGCTGACAGCAGAAGCTCACGCCGCTCCCAGGATTCGAACCTGTGACCTTTTGGTCAACAAGCTCAGTGCTTTAACCCACTGCGCCATTATATTGTACAATATAATATACAATACAATGTACAATATAATATATTGTATAGTACAATATAGTAATATTTAATACTGATATTGTAGTACGCTAATAATATACTATATTGTATGTATATATATCTTGTAAGCCGCTCTGAGTCCCCTTTGGGGTGAGAAGGGCAGCATATATATGTAAATAAATAAGTAAAGGTTGGTGGTCCGAATCCAGGGAACGAGTTGAGCTCCTGCTGTTAGGCCCAGCTTCTGCCAATCTAGTAGTTCGAAAACATGCAAAAACATGCAAATAGAGTAGAACAATAGGTACTGGTTCTGCAGGAAGGTAATGGCGCGCCATGCAGTCATGCTGGCCACATGACCTTGGAGGTGTCTATGGACAACGCCAACTCTTTGGCTTAGAAATGGAGATGAGCACTGCCCTCCAGAGTGAGACACAACTAGACTTAATGTCAAGGGGAAACCTTTACCTTTACTAATGCAAGAACAATCCCATGCAGCTGGGAGATTCTGGAGACAAGCAATTTTTCCGAACCCTGGTGTATTTACCGGGATCTAGATGATATTCTAGAGTGTGTATGACTTTTTGGTGAGCATCATATAATTTACTGTAACTTTTGTGGCTCATTTCAATGTTTACTTTATGCAAAGGGCGGTAAAATGGAAGACATAGAAGCCGCGGGGCAGCGTGTGGTGAAAATCCTCGAAGGCCGACTTCCCGAAGGTCCGAATGCAAGGCACCTCCTTCCCCTCTTGTCAAAGGTCATCAGTCTTGCACCAGCGAACCTTAGTGAAGGTAAAAGCAACAATTTTATGGATGAATGCAATTTGGCCTGAGAAAAGGCCAGAGGTCTGGCTTACGAAAAACCACCAACATGGAAAGCATGTAACATATCTCACAGTTGCGTTTCCCTCATTGCTTTGCCTCCCTAGATCAGATCAATCTGCTCAGCAAAAGGATGGTGGACTGGCTGAGGTATGCCAGTGTCCAGCAAGGAGTTCCCCAGACCTCAGGAGGCTTCTTCAATCCCAGAGCAAGACAGGTTTGGAACTGGAAATGGGAATAGGAACAAAATTTATAACATTTGAGATCATTCATGGTCAGCCAGCAGTGATCCTCAAGGCTGCAAAAAGTATTTTGGTTCAAATGAAAACATCTAAAACTGCTACACAACAACTGACTCAGTGAGTAAGTCCAAGCGCTATTGCGTTTGAGATTTTCTGAAGACTCAAGACGAGAGTCCAGTCCAAAATAGGACCTCGAAAAACTTATGAACTGCAGTGACAGGGGTTCAAACCCAAGTTGTGTTTAGGAAGGGATATAAAGGAAAGTTGTGTAGCATATTGGAAGGTCTAGAAGGAGCGGTAGCAGTTTTTCACCCTTGTGTCCCTTGTGGAAACTGCACTGACGCACCTGATATAATCGGAAGCGATGTCATGTCACTTTCAAGTTTCATTTTTGGCTGAATGTTCACTGATTGGTTGGGGGAGTTGCTTTTCCAGGTATGTTGGCTTCCAGAGGTGTTTATGACCCAGCTGCTTTATTCCGTTGTGTTTAAAAGCCACTTGGAATTTGGTGGCAATTGTCTGGAAAAGAAATGAAAAGCTGGGAGACTCTGAGGCCTTCAGGAGCTACAAAGTTCTTTAAGTCGCCCTGAGCGATGAAATTGTATACAAATACAATAAATAAAATAAATAAATTTAAAAGTGTTGTTGAAGGCTTTCATGGCCAGAATCACTGGGTTGGTGTGAGTTTTCTGGGCTCTCCGGGCATGCTCCAGAAGCATTCTCTCCTGTCGTTTTGCCCACATCTTTGGCATGCATCCTTAGAGGTTGTGAGGCCTGCTGGAAGCTAGGCAAGTGAGGTTTATATATCTGTGGGTGAGAGAAAGAACTCTTGTCTGCTTGAGACAAGTGTGAATGTCACAATTAGCCACCTTGATTAGCATTGAATGGCCTTGCAGCTTCAAAGACATTTCTGCTTCCTGTCTGGGCGAATCCTTTGTTGGGACGTGTTAGCTGGCCCTGACTGATTCATGGCTGGAATTCCTCTGTTTTCTGAGTGTCGTTCTTTATTTACTTAGACTGGCTGCTTCCTGTCTGGGCGAATCCTTTGTTCAGAGGTGTTCGCTGGCCATGATTGGTTCCTGGTTGGAATTCCTCAGTTTTCTGAGTGTTGTTCTTGATTTAGTGTCCTGATTTTAGAGTTTTTAATACTGGTAGCAAAATTTTCTTCATTTTAATGGTTTTCTCCCTCTTGTTGACATTGTCCACGCTCAGAAAACACAGGAATTCCAGACATGAAACAATCAGGAGGTCACTGTGCAAAACAGGATGCTAGACAGCATGGGCCTTCTGTCTGATCCAGCACCACTTCTCTGTATTTTTATGCCTTTGCTAGTTATTTTGGGTATAAGACTCTTAGATTAATTGTTTCTTGTGGTCTCCAGAATTTCTGGAGCGTAACCGGTCTCTTCCCTCCTTCAGCCAGGTCCCATTGCGGAGGTTGATGGCACGGTCGCTACAGACTTCTTCACCGTGCTTTCAGTTGGGCAGTATTACACCGAGGACCAGTGGCTCAACATGCAGGCTTTTTCCATATTGCGGAAGTGGCTCCTGTGCTATGGCAGCGACGGAGCAGCTGGTCCAAATTCTGGTAAAGGTCTTTGCCATTAAGGAAAGTGTAATTTCTGGGTTTATTTGGCTGATCAAAGACTTAAATGATGCCCTCTGAGGCGAGAGAGGGAATGAGTAACAGCATGCTTTGTTTTGATTCTTATTATAATTTATTATTTACTAGCTTGGGTACCTGGTGTTGCCCGGGCTATTTGAAAAGGTCGGGGTTTTTGTTTTTTTTTTACAAAAAGCATAAGGTTGTGGGTGAACTATAACTCACATCATGCCAGGTTAACCCCCTCAAATTCCATCAGCAGTTAAAGTTTGTCATGTTGGGCAAGTTTGCTCTAGATTCAACATTGGTCAGGTTCAGCATGAACTGTGGCTGCAGAATAAACTACAGCTCCCACTATGGTGAATCAGTCGTCGTCATCCCCTCCCCCCAGTAGGTTCAGTTGGTCGTATGGTTCTGTGTACCAAGTTTGGTCCAGATCCATCAGCGGTGGTGGTCACAGTGTCTCTGGATGTAAATAATAATAATAATAATAATAATAATAATAATAATAATAATAACTTTATTTATACCCCGCCACCATCTACCGAAGGGACTCGGAGTGGCTTACATGAGGCCAAGCCCAACAACACATCAATAAAAACAACAGGGAATAAGCAAAATAAACAATACAATCAATATAACTCACACATAGACAGTAACACACAAGTGAACTACAACTTCCAGAAAGGACTGCCAGTTCCCCCCAAACCTTATTCCAGTATTTTCAATTGGTCATGGTGGTTCTGTGTGCCAAGTGAGTCCCGGGGCAATCGTTAGTAGAGTCCAGAGTGCTCTTTGATTGCAGGCGAACTATAAATCCCAGTACCTACAATGACTATAAATCAAGATGAATTCCTCCCAAACCTCTCCAGTATTTTTCTTTGGTTATGGGAGTTCTGTCTGCCAAATGTGGTCCAGGTCCATTGTCAGTGGGGGTCACAGTGCTCTGACTTGATGCAAGGTGAACTACAACTTCCATCATTCGAAGTCAATGCCCCAAACTCCTCCAGTATGTTTAGTTGTTAATTAGTTCTGCTCTGTTCGTTGAAAAGAGTTGGAAAGGATTAAGGGAGAGGCAGTGGGCGGGATCATACAAATTCCACACCAATGGATAGAGTAAGAAACACTGGGATGTCTTTGTGGTGGAGGAAACATGTAAAATCTGGGATGAAATGAAAGCGTTCCTGGGTGGTGGACAGTATGGTGTTTGGGGAGGACATTGGCAGGCTGGGCTAACATGTTTGTGGCACTCACTATACCCTGAAATGTCATTGGAGGGAGGGCTTTTGGTGGCTTCTCAACACAGTGGGTTAAAGCTGTTTGTGGAAGCGGGAGTCTGTCTGTCTGTGGAAGTGGGCACCCCAGCCACATACACACATACATATTTTCACTTGTATTATATGTATAGATATAGCACCCACACTGTGTGTTACAAGTAAAAGAACAACAAAACAGTTGCCTGCCCTCAGGCTTGCAATCTAATTAAGACATAACACAACACCAAAAAAGTGTGTGTTTAGATTTATTTATTTATTTATTTCGAGCATTTCTACCCCGCCCTTCTCAACCCCCGAAGGGAGACTCAGAGCGGCGTACAAAAGGCACAATTCGATGCCAGCAATACACATAGTAAGATAAAATACATAGCAGCAACAATTATAAAATAATTAAAGCAATCCAGTTATACAATACAACTAATAAAAACCAATCTAGTGATCAACGTTCGCCAAGCTCAAAATCCGTAAGTTCATTCCGCATTGTCATAATCCTATCCAATTCTAGTCGTCATTGTCCTTTGTCTGTCTGCCAGATTACCCAAAGGCCTGGTCCCATATCCATGTTTTTAGTTTCCTTCTAAAAGAGAGGAGGGATGTCGATGACCTAATTTCCCTGGGGAGTGAATTCTACAGGCGAGGGGCCACCACCGAGAAGGCCCCGTCCCTCGTCCCCACCAACCTCACTTGTGATAAAGGTGGGGCCAAGAGCAGGGCCTCCCCAGAAGATCTTAAACTCCGAGGTGGGATGTAGAAGCAGATGCGTTCGGACAGGTACGCTGGGCCAGAGCTGTATAGGGTTTTGTAGGTCAAAACTAGCACTTTGAATTGTGCTTGGAACTGGATCGGCAGCCAGTGGAGCTGACATAACAGAGGGGTATGACGCTCTGGTGTGTAATCTGGCCGCCACCCGTTGGACTAATTGAAGTTTCTAAACAGTCTTCAAAGGCAACCCCACGTAGAGTGCGTTGCAGTAATCTATTCGGGATGTAACAAGAGCGTGGACCACTGTGGTCAGATCTGACTTCCCAAGGTACGGGCACAACTGGCACACAAGTTTTAATTGTGCAAAAGCTCTCCTGGCCACCGCTGAGACCTGGGGTTTCAGGCTTAGCGATTAGCAAAGAATATGCTTCTTTGGGGACCTTTGGCTGACTTTTCAGACTGTTCTTGCAGATCCCACCTTATGGCTTCCCTTGCAGATGACAAGTCTGAGGTGGATGGCTCTATTGTGTCCATGGTCTCTGTCACCTCCAGCTCCAGCCGCCTTCTTCCTCCAAAGGAGCGCTTGCGGGAGAAGGCTTTCGAATACTGCCAGCGTCTTATAGAGCAGTGCAACCGCCGTGAGTCTTCATGGTCTTTTCTTTTGATTGTGCTGTCAAAAGGTAGACGTTTGCTGTGCTCTTTCAACCCTTTTCCATACTATATACTTTCCCAGATTTCGGCTTATGGGTTTCACTGCACTTCAAATAACAGATCCTCCTCCTCAACCCAGATTGTGAATCTTCATTAGCAATCCAACAGTGACTGTGTTTCCACTTTGCAGGGAGTCATTTGTGGGGCATGGACCAGGCATGACCCTTGGGTTGAGTTCTCCCAATCCACATTATAAGGGGTTTGTTGGGCAAATGGGTTTATTAACAAAATACCCTCATCATAAATACGTAGCAGAGTAACTTATTAGCAGCAGCATGACCCAGCACCAGTAGCCAAAAGTGATACAACAAAAACACACAGTCCAATGTTATTTCTTACTTAGGAGGCTTTCCTTCATTGCAAAATAATATGCTTGTGCTATTTATAAGAACAAAGCTTCCATAACAAAGTTCTTTTTACTTCCTTCTTTGCTTCCACGCTGGGCTTCTTTCTCATGCAGATAAACAGCTTCACTCTCATAGAGCCTCCTCTCACATCGAAGTTACACAGGAGTTTCACACTGTAGCCTTCACACTGGAGTTTCACACAATAGTTTTACATACGAGGCCTTCAACTTGGCAATTCTCTCACATCAGGCTTTTTCATACCAAGGCCTACCAACACACTGACACCTCTTTCACACAGAGGCAAACTAACAGTGAGGCCTACTCATATTGAGGCCTACTAACACTCTGAGGCCTTTCTCCCACTGAGGGCTCTCTCAGACTGACACAAACTAACACTGAGGCTTACTCATATTGAGGCCTACTAACACACTGAAGCCTTTCTCCCACAGAAGGCTCTCTCAGACTGACATCTCTTTCACACAGAGGCAAACTGACAGTGAGGCCTACTCATATTGAGGCCTACTAACACACAGAGGCCTTTCTCCCACTGAGGGCTTTCTCAGACTGACACCTCTTTCACACAGAAGCAAACTGACAGTGAGGCGTACTCATATTGAGGCCTACTAACACACCGAGGCCTTTCTCCCACTGAGGGCTCTCTCAGACTGACACCTCTTTCACACAGAGGCAAACCAACAGTGAGGCCTACTCATATTGAGGCCTACTAACACACTGAGGCCTTTCTCCCATTGCGGGCTCTCTCAGACTGACACCTCTTTCACACAGAGGCAAACTAAGTGAGGCCTACTCATATTGAGGCCTACTAACACACTGAGGCCTTTCTCCCACTGAGGGCTCTCTCAGGCTGACACCTCTTTCACACAGAGGCAAACTAACAGTGAGGCCTACTAACACACTGAGGCCTTTCTCCCACTGAGGGCACTCTCAGACTGACACCTCTTTCACAAAGAGGCAAACTAACAGTGAGGCCTACTCATATTGAGGCCTACTAACACACTGAAGCCTTTTTTTCCCACTGAGGGCTCTTTCAGACTGACACCTCTCTCACACTGAGGCGAACTAACAGTGAGGCCTACTCATATTGAGGCCTACTAACACACTGAGGCCTTTCTCCCACTGAGGGCTCTCTCAGACTGATGCAAACTAACACTGAGGCCTACTCATATTTAGTTCTACTAACACATGCCTTTCTCCCACTGAGGGCTCTCTCAGACTGATGCCTCTCTCACACTGAGGTGAACTAACAGTGAGGGCTACTCATATTGAGGCCTACTAACACACTGAGGCCTTTCTCCCACTGAGGGCTCTCTCAGACTGATGCCTCTCTCACACTGAGGCAAACTAACAGTGAGCCCTACTCATATTGAGGCCTACTAACACACTGAAGCCTTTCTCCCACAGAGACCTCTCACAGACTGAGGGCTACTAAGCTACAGGCACACCTGCTTATGTTGAACTGCAGCTTTTGCTGAGTGATTGTATCCATATAACCCTTTCAGTGCTTGACTCACATTTTTGTAATTAAAAATATTTTTTAATATTTTGGACACGGTTTGACTTGGATTTGTTTTGTCTGCCAGGTGCTCTGAAGAAGGCAGATGCCGAGCTGCAGAAAGCAGTAAGTAGAGCAGAGAGAAGGTGGCCTTGTATACGAAGGGCAAGCATTGTGGGCTCTGTCATTGTGGGATCTTTTTCTTTCCCCTGCAGTGTCTCGTGGAAGCAATCACCATCATGGATATTATTTGCAGGCAGGATTCCTCTTACGTCTACCGCTCACTCTCTTGTCTGAAGAACTTGCACAGCCGGATCAGCGGAGACCTTTCCTACGCTCGGGTGTTGCTGCCTATTGCCCAGTTCTTCCTGAACCACAGTATGTCAGAATGATGGTCTTTCCCCTTCTCATGACACCACCCTTTATGCCCTTGGTAAAACTAATCTGCAATGTATCATCTGAAGTCTAGGTATGGCTGGAAAGTGTATTGGATTCACAGAAACATAGACTTTTGGTATTGATTGTGAACAGGTATTTCTGCAGGAAAGAACACTCTAAAGCAGTGGTTCTCAACCTGTGGGTCCCCAGATGTTTTGGCCTTCAACTCCCAGACATCCTAACAGCTGGTAAACTGGCTGGGATTTCTGGGAGTTGTAGGCCAAAATAATAATAATAATAATAATAATAATAATAATAATAATCTATATAAATAAAAATGTAATGTTCATTTGTGCTACCATCAGAACTCAAAAACCACTGGGGGAATTGACACCAAATTTGGACACGATACACCTAACAACCCAATTTATGATCTCCACTCAAAACAAACAAATAATAATTAACTGGTAAGAACTTACCCCCTACAAGGCTAAATGCCTATACAGAGCCTGTGTTAAAAGAATCCTTCCCCGCCCTTTCCTTCTTGCCTCGCTGCCTCCGCTGGGCTGCTGGGAACTCACAGGGATTCTCCCTGTGTGTGTGTGCCCAGAAACCTCACCCATACTGAGTTATGGGAAGGCATTCTGGGAAATGAAGTCCAGTATTCAAAGAAGGGACAAAAAGGCAGCTCTGTGAGTTAGCAAAGGCTGTCCAGGAAGGCAGAATCAAAACACTCCCAAAAGATGGCCATCCATTTTTACTTTATAGCAACCCTGGGCTATAATATATCTACAATAATAATAATATCTATATATCTATCATAATAATATCTATCAATCTATAATAACATATATGTCTATGATATCTATATGTCTTTAACAATAATATCTACATTTCTATCATAATATCTATATGTCTGTAATAATGTCTATATGCCTATAATAATATCTACAGGTCTATAATAATATCCATATGTCTATAATTATAATATCTGTCTGTCAAAAATATCTGTACATTTATAACAATAATACCTATATGCCTATAATATCTATGTCTATAATAATAATAATAATAATATCTATATAAAGTATAATAATATGTATACATCTATAATAATAATAGCTATATAATATCTATAAAAATAACAATAAAAATAATAACATCTATATGTCTATAATAATATCTATAGGTCTGTAATAATATCCATACATCTGTTGCCTGTTTTTGCTCGAAAGATATTGAGCCCTATGCTCCTTCTATTTTTTATCAGTTTTATACTAATTTATGCAATGCTTTTGATATGAAATTCATAAATAAATAACATCTATAATACTAATACCTATATAGCTTTAATAATAATATTTGTATCTATAATAATAATATCTATATGCCTATAATAATATCTATATGTCTATAATGACAACAACACCTATATAAAATCTTTGAACTGGGTTATATGGCAGTGTGGACTCAGGTAACCCAGGGCCCTTTCACACATCCCTTTGGCCTCGAGGAGACTGAAATGGGCCGGTATTAGGTTGACACCACTGGAGAAATTACACTGTTTAGCTGGTATTGCACCACCTGACATCCGCCGGGAAGTAGCAGCCAATAGTGAAAGGACCAAGGCAGAGACATCTCCAGCTCATCCCCTGTTTGGGTATCAGCCAGCACATCAATGACTTAAATCTAGAAATAGTTTTCTAAGATCTACAGAGACACCTGGAACACCTCAGCAAGCAAGAGTCCAAAAGTGGCAGGCTCAAACCCAGAACCTCAACCAATGGCTGATACCAAATGAGAGACTCCCCCATGGGCACACAGAGGACTGGGCGACTTGGAAGGCGCTGAACAGACTGCGCTCTGGCACCACAAGATGCAGAGCCAACCTTAGAAATGGGGCTACAAAGTGGAATCCACGACATGCGAGTGTGGAGAAGAGCCAACTACAGACCACCTGCTGCAATGCAACCTGAGCCCTGCCACATGCACAATGGAGGACCTCCTTGCGGCAACACCAGAGGCACTCCAAGTGGCCAGATACTGGTCAAAGGACATTTAATCAACTACCAAGCTTGCAAACTTTGTGTTTTGTCTGTTTGTTTTGTTAAAAATGTAATACAACTGACTGGTTGTTCCTGACACGATAAATAAATAAATAAGCTCCAGCTTATGCGAGGACATGAGAGAAGCCTCCCACAGGATGCCCTAAACAACTTCCTTGCAGACAGACAATTCTCTCACACCAGAAGCAACCCCTCTGCCTCCATTACCACATTTTCTGTGAAGGAAGTAATGGTCAAGAACACAGCAACTTCATTCCGGCAAATACCCCTGTATTCTTACATTATTTCTCTTTGCTGTTTCCTTGTCCATCCCTAGGCGAGACAGCAGCAGTGGACTCGGAGGCCGTTTACAAGCACCTGTTCACCAAGGTCCCCGCTCAGCTCTTCCACAGCCCCACGCTGGCCTACGAGTTTGTCCAGTTCTGCAGGCACAACCTTCCCTTATTTGCCGAGAGCGTCAGCATCTTCCGCCAGAACACCCCAAACATATTCAAGGTACCAAGGCTGTATTGTAAGCCAGGGGGAGAATTTTGGAAAGTATCTACGCAGCCCAAATGCTGTAGTTAAATACATTTGGAGGCTGTCAGATTCAGAAAAGTTTGATATGGGCCTGTGGTGAAGTGTAAATTTTAATCTACTGTTATGTATAGTTATAGATAGGCGTTTGAAAGGGTAAGTATTTAAAGTTGCATAACTGGGGAGGATGGTAGCCAACTCAGCTCACTGGGTTGCTATGGAAATAGGGGCGGAGGCAACTGCCACTTGGCAGGGCAGCCATTTTAAAACAGTCAGTCTGTAGTCAGCGAACTACAGGAGTGGTTGGTTCTGTAGTTTTGAGAACCAGGAAGGTAATCTGTAGTTTCGTAATGCAAGTAATAAAAGTCACTTGTATTTATTTATTTATTTATTTATTTATTTACATCACTTATATCCCGCCCATATCAGCCCGCAGGCGACTCAGGGCGGTCTACATATCGGCACAATTCGATGCCATCAATACAATACAACAGCAAAAACAATTAAGTGCATTTAGACAAAAAAGACAGTGCAATAACAATTTAAAAAGAGCTATATCCTCTCATTCCAATCCTCATCCGTTTCATCGTCTTGGCCGTTCCTGGGTCATTCTCCATCTCCATCTATTCCGGGGTTCCGAATGTTTGCTCGAAGAGCCAGGTTTTTACTTTCTTCCGAAAAGTCAGGAGGGAGGGGGCTGATCTAATATCCCTAGGCAGGGAGTTCCACAGCCGAGGGGCCACCACAGAGAAGGCCCTGTCCCTCGTCCCTACCAAGCATACTGTAGTGAGGATCAGGAAGGTTTGGGCTTTTAGCCTAGGTAGTTTAGATAAGTCGAGTTGACTTATTTATATTAGTAGTTAGTGCAGCGGTTCTCAACCTGGGGATCGCCTGGCCATTTTGGAGGGGTCGCGAGGCCGCCTCCGTTGGCCCCGCCCCAAGGGTGTGGGCCAGGCGAGGGCTCCTTCATGCGAGGCCTGGCCTCGTGCACAGCCTGCTTTGCCTGCCGCGCACTCTCACCATTCGGCGAGGCGGGCGAGGGGAACTCTGCGCGAGGCCTAGCTTGGCGCAAAGCTTCCTTGCCCGCCTCCTGCTTGTGCCATTCGGCGAGGGCGAGAGGTGGGCGAGGGGAACTCTGCGTGAGGCCTAGCTTCGCGCAAAGCCTCCTTGCCCGCCTCCCGCTTTCGCCATCATCGGGACCCCTGAGCACCTCGCAAGGGGAGTGCCAGTCGAGTCACCAAAGACCATCTGTTGACCATGGGACTTCTGTGTGGTAAGTATGGCTCAATTTTATCATTGGTGGGGTTCAGAAGGCTCTCTGATTGCAGTTGAACTGTAAATCCCAGCAACTATAGCTCCCAAATGTCAAGGTCTATTTTCACTAAACTCCACCACTGTTCACGTTTGGCCATATTGAGCATTCATGCCAAGTTTGGTCCAGATTGATCATTATTTGAGTCCACAGTGCTCTCTGGATGTAGGTGAACTAGAACTCCTAAACTCAATGCCCATCAAATCCTTCCAGTATTTTCTATTTGTAATGGGAGTTCTGTATGCCAAGTTTAGTTCAATTTCATCATTAGTGGAGTTCATAATGCTCTTTGATTGTAGGTGAACTATAAATCCCATCAACTACAACTCCCAAATGACAAAATCTCTTCCCCCCCCCCCCCCACCTCAGCAGTATTCAAATTTGGGCCTATCGTGCATTTGTGCCAAATTTGGTTCAATGAATGAAAATACAACCTGCATATCAGATATTGACATTACAATTCATAACAAGAGCAACATTACAATTATGAAGTAGCAATAAAAATAATTTTATAGTTGCGGGTCACCACAACATGAGGAACTGTATTTAGGGGTCATGGCATTAGAAAGGTTGAGAACCACTGAGTTAGTGTATGAGTAGAAGGGGTGAGAGAAAGCCAGTGAGAATCTTATTTGCAACAGAAATATCACAAAGGAAGAATAAGCTTATATCTGAAGTAATCTACTAAGGAAACAAACACAGTTTGAAGAAAAATAAGTTTGAAACCTGTTTAGTGGAAGGAAGAGTCCTTTCCAGAGTTGGTTTAAGAAATGTTATAAATGTAACCTCTGAAGATAAGTGCCTCTAAGAGTAAGAAACATTGAAACCATCAAGCTTCTGCTACATTTCAATAAACTTGTTACATATGTATTGTCAAAGGCTTTCATGTCCAGAATTACTGGGTTGTTGTAGGATTTTTCGGGCTATATGGCCATGTTCTAGAGGCATTTCTCCTGACGTTTTGCCTGCAACTATGGCAAGCACCCTCAGAGGTAGTGAGGTCTGTTGGAAGTAGGAAAAAGGGTTTATATATCTGTGGAATGACCAGGGTGGGACAAAGGATTCTTGTCTGCTGGAGCTAGGTGTGAATGTTTCAACTGATCACCTTGATTAGCATTTGATTGCCTGGCAGTGCCTGGGGCAATCTTTTGTTGAGAGGCCATTAGATGTCCCTGTCTGTTTCCTCTCTGTTGTTGTGCTGTTGTAATTTTAGAGTTTTTTTAATACTGGTAGCCAGATTTTGTTCATTTTCATGGTTTCCTCCTTTCTGTTGAAATTGTCCTCATGCTTGTGGATTTCAATGGCTTCTCTGTGTAGTCTGACATGGTGGTTGTGAGAGTGGTCCAGCATTTCTGTGTTCTCAAATAATATGCTGTGTCCAGGTTGGTTCATCAGGTGCTCTGCTATGGCTGACTTCTCTGGTTGAAGTAGTCTGCAGTGCCTCTCATGTTCCTTGATTTGTGTTTGGGCAATGCTGCGTTGGGTGGCCCCTTGTGTCGACATGTCCACAGCTGGATACGGTAGACTCCTGCAGAGGTGAGAGGATCCCTCTTGTCCTTGGCTGAACGAAGTATTGGCTGGATTTTCTTGGTGGGTCTGCAGATAGTTTGTATGTTGTGTTTCCTCATCTGCTTCCCTATGCGGTCAGTGGTTCCCTTGATGTCTGGCAAGAACACTTTTCCTCTGGAGTATGGTGTCAAATGCTAATCAAGGTGGTCAGTTGAAACATTCACACCTAGCTCCAGCAGACAAGAGTCCTTTGTCTCACCCTGGTCATTCCACAGATATATAAACCCATTTTCCTAGTTCCAACAGACCTCACTACCTCTGAGGATGCTTGCCAGAGATGCAGGCAAAACATCAGGAGAGAATGCCTCTAGAACATGGCCATATAGCCCAAAAAAAAAAAAAACCTACAACAACCCAAACTTGTTACAGTTTTTATAAAGCCCGGTGTCTGTTACAAATCCTTTCCAAGTTACGTCACGCTACACCTTGAAAAAAGACCAATTCAATATTAATGGCTATTAGCTACGCTATCAATTTAATAAGCCCTTACAAAGTGGTGGCAACTTTACAAAATCGTTACAAACCGGTGGCTTCTTCACAACGTTGTTGGCCATTGTTACAGGGCCTTACAGAGCTTGATAGACAGCAGGACCTGATTAGTTACATTATGCAGAATTATGTCAGTGTGCAAAGAGATTAAACTCTTACCTTCCTCCCGTGTTCTGCTGTGCTTTCTGCCCACTGTTTGATCCTTCACTTGGGATGCGCAAAGAGTGTGTTCCCGCTCATTCCAACTTCCTCTCTCTGCAGTTCCTAGCATGGAATAGCCCAGCCCTGGTTGCGGACTATATGGACATTTTGCCAGCCTTGCTTGGACCGGACACGGCCTTGGAGATATTTCACTTGCTGCTCGACCTGCCTTGTTTGACTGCTGTGCTGGATGTCCAACTGAGGTAAAGGTGCCCTTCGTCCTATATGGCGTGTGGGGCTGCCAGCCTTCCCCATGCCACAGATGGCCCCATCTGCTTGGAACTGTTGCTCCCCCAGCAACAGCGCAGGTTGATAGGCAGGTGAGAGAAGAAAAGGCCTAGAAACCAATTTCCCACCCACTTGTAGGATGGCAAAGTCAGAAGACTATAAGGATATTTCTTAGAACGCTTCTGGTCCGGCTTACCTATCCAAACGTAGTTCTCCTTATGAACCTTTTAAGATATTAAGATTTTCTTAAGTGGCTTCAAACTACAGGAAATAAAGGAGATCCCACCTGAACATGAGGAAGAACTTCGTAACAGTGAAAGAGAGCTGTTCAGCAGTGGAACTCTCTGCCCTGGAGTGTGGAGGAGGCTCCTTCTTTGGAGGCTTTGAAACAGAGGCTGGATGGCCATCTGTTGGATGTGCTTTGAATGCAATTTTCCTGCTTCTTGGCAGAATGGGGTTGGACTGGATGGCCCAGGAGGTCTCTTCCAACTCTAGGATTCTGCGAAACAATTTCTGATCAAAAAGAAATCTAATAATTTAGCTACTAGCAACCATAGTAAAAGGTAAAGGTTGTCCCCTTGACATTAAGTCCAGTCATGTCTGACTCTGGGGTGTGGTGCTCATCTCCATTTCTAAGCTGAAGAGCTGGCGTTGTCCATAGACACCTCCAAGGTCATGTGGCCAGCATGACTGCATGTAGCACCGTTACCTTCCCACCAGAGCGGTACCTATTGATCTACTCACATTTGCATGTTTTCGAACTGCTAGGTTGGCAGAAGCTAGGGCTGACAGCGGAAACTCATGCCACTCCCCGGAATCGAACGTGCAACCTTTCGGTCAACAAGTTCAGTAGCTCAGTGCTTTAACCCACTGCGCCATCGGGAGCTCTAGCAACTATAGTTAGTTTAATTTAGCTAGATCTCAATCAATCAATCAAAACTATATTTAAGACCAAAGACCCAATTTGCTCAGTGGTAAACAGTACACAACTGCAAACTGATAAGATTAATTAAATGCAGGACCTGTATTTAGCTAGATCTGTAATGATAGAATAATATATTACCTTTTTGGATTTCCTTTTTTCATTATAGTTTGGATGAGGGGGTAGAATTTCTTTACATTCAACTTAGTTAGTTTGTATTGATAGTTTGAGCATTAGTCTTAGTTTGGTGTCTCAGTCTTATGTTTTAGTTGTGTGTTTGCGCTTTAGTGTAGTTGAATTGTACATTGGGCACTTGGCATGCACTGGGGTTATTACAGAATATAAAGATGCTGCTTTTATGCTTCATAATATGAGGCTTTGACATCACTTTGTACTGCATTGTAATAAGTGAGCCTGTATCCACAAAAGCTTTTGCTGGAATCACAATCTGTTTGTCTTAAGTGTGCTGCAATGTTTCTTTTCCCCCCTCCTTTTTGTGCTGCAAGAGACTAACATGGCTACTTTTTTGGACAACGACTACAATAGGTCTTCCCTGACTCCGCTGTCTGAACGGACGCCCTTGGACCCTTCTTCAAAGCCAACCACTTGCCAGGAAGCCCTCCGTCACCCGGAATACAGGGGCCTCTTCCAGTATCTCCTCCGGGCCGAGTTGGCGCCTGGAGAGCCAGGCAGGTAGGATATGTGGCTGAATCAATGGCCTCTCTTTACTTTTCCTTTCTCTGGAATATTTGTACCTCAGTTACCTAGATGGATGAGTGACTTAAGGCGAGGGGAAAGAGAGTAGCTAGATCAGAAGAGGATCTGGATCACTACAAAACAACAACAGGAAAAATGGTGGGAGGGTCAGGTCTTTTCACCATTTTTCCCACTGATGTTCTCTACCGACCAAGCTCTTCTGCTGCTGGATGTCCGGTCCACAGCTAGTCCCCAAACAAATCAGTTCAGTGTTCATCAGGTTGCTGTGAATTTTCTGGGCTGTATGGTCATGTTCCAGAAGCATTCTCTTCTGATGTTTGGCCCACAACTATGCCAGAGGTTCTAACATTCTGGAGGCTGCAGTCTCTCAAAAAGAGGCTTTTCCAAGCCCTGATAGTTTTCATGGAGACATTAGTGAACAGGGAGTCATTTCACAAAGTGTGTTAGCTTAGAATCACTGGGTTGCTGTGAGTTTCCTGGGCTGTGTGTTCCAGAAGCATTCTCTCCTGACATTTCAACCACATCTGTGGCATGCATCCTGAGAAGTTGTGAGCTCTTGGACACTAGGCAAATGAGGTTTATATACCTGTGGAATGATGTCCAGGGTGGGAGAAAGAACTCTTGTCTGCTTGAGGCAAGTGTGAATGTTGCATTTAGCAATGAATGGCCTTGCAGCTTCAAAGCCTGACTGCTCTCTTGGAAACTAGGCAAGTGGGGTTTATACATCTGTGGAATGATGTCCAGGGTGGGAGAAGGAACTCTTTGTCTGTTTGAGTAAAGTGTCAATGTTGCAATTGGCCACCTTGATTAGCACTGAATGGCCTTGCAGCTTCAAAGCCTGGGTGCTCTTTCAGAAACTAGGCAAGTGAGGTTTATATATCTGTGGAATGTCCAGTGTGGGAGAAAGAACTCTTGTCTGTTGGAGGCAAGTGTGATGTTGCCATTGGCCAGCTTTATTCGCATTTAATGGCTTTGTAGCTTCAAAGCCTGGCTGGTTGCTACCTGGAGGAATACTTTGTTGGGAGGTGTTGGTTGTTTTCTGTCTGAGTGTTTTTCTTTGTTTACTGTCCTGATTTTAGAGTATATTTTTTATACTGGTAGCCATATTTTGTATATTTACATTGTTTCCTCCTTTCTGTTGAACTTGTCCACCTGCTTCTTGTGGATTTTAATGGCTACTCTATGTAGTCTGACATGGTAGTTGTGAGAGTGGTCCAGCATTTCTGTGTACTCAAATAATATTCCATGTTTAGGTTCGTTCATCAAGGGCTCTGCTATCGTTCACTTCTCAGGTTGAATTAGTCTGCAGTGGCTTTCATGTTCCTTGATTTGTGTTTGAGCACTGTTAAAAAACAGAGTAATTCCAGACAAGAATCAGTCACAGCCAGATAAAACCTTCCAACAAAGGATTCCCCAAGGCAGGAAGCAGCCAGGCTTTGAAGCTGAAAGTTCATTCAGTGCTAATCAAGGTGGCCAATTGCAACATTCACACTTGCCTCAAGCAGACAAGAGTTCTAACTGATGTCCAAAGAGGATTGGCTGGGGGAATTTCCACTGTTGCAGTGCAAGGGGCAGTGAAAAAGTGATTCTTTCCCCCTTAATTTTTTTCTGGGAAGAGGGAAACATTTGGGGGATGCCAGGGATGCCTCAAAGACTGACAGCTTCTGCTGGGGTGTTTCCAACAGGTTGGCTCCTGTCCGCCAGCTCCTGGGGTCTGTGCCCACTCCCCCTCGCGTTACGCAGTGTGCAGAGAGCGTCCCTGTCCTGCTGCAACTCTTCTTTGGAGTTGTAGCCAAGGTAAGTTGCCTCTTGGAGGAATCTGCTCTTTGTTTGTTTGCTTGTTTACTTTGTTCATATGCCAGAGTGCAGGTGTGTGCTTGGAACTAGGCTGCATTGCAACCTGCATTCATTGTGTTCTATCCGGAGTGTGAAACATTGAAGGCAATGGCATCCAGTATTTAAAGTGCCTCCGATGTGTCATACTCTGGATAGAGTAGTGTAAGTTGGCAAATGCATTTCCTTTGGGAAGCCCAGTGGAATCGTGGCCCATGCCTCTTTCAGTAGCCCCCATCAGACCCATCAAATCAGTTCCTGAATAAGCCAAATACTAAAACAGGTCTGTTGAGAGAATTCCGACCTTTGTCTTTTACAAAGACAGAGCTATGTTATCCTCACAACAACCTTCTTTTTATTTGGGTTGCTGTGAGTTTTCTGGGCTGCCTGGCCATGTTCCATAAGCATTCTCTCCTGACGTTTCGCCCACATTTATGGCAGGCATCATTATAGGTTGTGAGGTCTACTGGAAACTGGGCAAGTGGGATTTATATGCATTCATAGAGTTGGAAGAGACTCTTAAAGGCCATCCAGTCCAACCAGAAAGGGAGGCACAATCCAATCCCTCCCAACAGATGGCCATCCAGCTGTAGCTCCAAAACCTCCAGCTTATCCCATTCTCAGGAAGTCTTTCCAAAAGTGTGATATAACTATGCATTCATAGAGTTGGAAAAGACTCCTAAAGGCACAATCCAATCTCTCCCAACAGATGGCCATCCAGCTATAGCTCCAAAACCCTCCATTCTATTCCACTCTTAGGAAGTCCTTCCAAAGTTTAGCCTCCCAATTCATTCATTCCCTTTCCATTCATTCCCAGTATCTCTTTTTCCTCCTTCCTTTCCTCCTTCCTTTCCTCCTTCCTTTTCTATATATCTGTGGAATAATGTCCAGGGTGGGAGAAAGAACTCTTGTCTGCTTGAGACAAGTGTGAATGTTGCAAATGGCCACCTTGATTATTTATTATTTATTTATTTATTTAATACACTTGTATACCGCTAATATCTCAGCCTAAGTCGGCGACTCATTGCGGTTTACAACAATTAAAAACAATATACAATTTAAAACAACAACACATAGACAATACAAATTATTGGGCCACCAATAATAATACCATGTATCTCGTCACTAAAATCACAGTCCAGAATTCGTCATCCATAATTAACCAGTCCTTAGTCCATAAAATTCGGTGATAACAAACTAACCGAATGCTTGTTTACACAACCATGTTTTTAATCTCTTCCGAAACACCATCAGCGAAGAGGCTGATCGTATCTCTATAGGGAGGGTGTTCCAAAGCCGAGGGGCCACCACAGAAAAGGCCCTGTCTCTCGTTCCCACCAGCCGCACTTGGGAAGCCGGTGGGATAGAGAGCAGGGACTCTCCAGAAGATCTAAGGGTCCTGGTGGGCTGATAGGCTGAGATACGTTCGGATAGATAAGTTGGGCCAGAACCAACCAAGATTAGCATTGAATAGCCTTGCAGCTTCGAGGCTTGGCTGCTTCCTGCCTGGTGGGTCCTTTGTTAGCTGGCCCTGATTGTTTCATATCTGGAATTCCCCTGCCTTTTGAGTATTGCTCTTTATTTACTGTTCTAATTTTAGTGGGTTTTTTTAAATACTGGTAGCCAGATTGTGTTCATTTTCATGGTTCCCTCCTTTCTGTTGAAATTGTCCACATGCTTGTGGATCTTAGTAGCTTCTTTGTGTATTCTGACGTGGTGGTTGTTAGAGTGGTCAAGCATTTCTGTGTTCTCAAATAATAATACACTTTGTCCCGGTTGGTTCATCAGGCACTCTGCTATGGCTGACTTCTCAGGTTGAAGTAGTCTGCAGTGCCTTTCATGTTCCTTGATTTGCAGGAAGCAGCCAGGCTTTGAAGCTGCAAGTGTCCAGACAGCCTGAAAAACTTACTGCAACCCAAATAGGCAAATCCTGTAGATTCAACGAGTCTGCTGTAGTTAGGATTAGCAACAGGAATTATGCCTTGCCCTGCAGTTCTGTGTACACTTACTTACTCTTAATTGGCTTGATCCAATATTCCAGTCACTAAAATTGGGAGTGAGGGCCTTGCACAGCTTTAGGCACTCAACTATGTTTCCCATTAGCATAGTGGTACGTCTATGCTGGGTACTACTGTGTCTTAGCAGTGACCTGAAATAGGCACTGGCACAAAACTCCTCAGACTTTGCTGGTTACATCTGAAGGGCCATCTCCTTCTCCAGTTTGCAGATGGGTCCCTTGCAAGCAAACTGGTCTTGGCAATGCTGGAGAGAAGTGACCAGCTTTACGAAGTTCCAGGGTTCAGGACAGAAGTGTACAGGTGAGTAGCAAGCTTAAGAAGATGTATGGAGAATTATAACCAGAAGGTTGCATCTGAGGCTGAATTAAATGGTTCTTCAAGATTGGGATGGGGTAGGGGCAGCAACATGATCTCTATCTATAAATATAAATATAAATATAAATATAAATATAAATATAAATATAAATATAAATATAAATATAAATATAAATATAAATATAAATATAAATATAAATATAAATATAAATATAAATATAAATATAAATATAAATATAAATATAAATGTAATGTTCGTTTGTGGGATTAACATAACTCAAAAACCACTGGGGGAATTGACACCAAATTTGGACACAAGACACCTAACAACCCAATGTATGTCCTTCACTCAAAAAATTGATTTTGTCATTTGGGAGTTGTAGTTGCTGGGATTTATAGTTCACCTACAATCAAAGAGCATTCTGAACCTCACCAACGATGGAATTGAACCAAACTTGACACAGGACTCCATGACCAGCAGAAAACACTAGAAGGGTTTGGTGGGCATTGAGTTTGGGAGTTGTAGTTCACCTCCATCCAGAGAGCACTGTGGACTCCATCAGTGATGAATCTGGACCAAATTTGGCATGAATACTCCATATGCCTAAATATGAACACGGAGTTTGAGGAAAATAGACCTTGACATTTGGGGGTTGTAGTTACTGGGATTTATAGTTCACCTACAATCAAAGAGCATTCTGAACCCCACAAAAGAGAGAATTGGGGCAAACTTCCCACACAGAACCCCCATGACCAACAGAAAATACTTAAGGCCATCCAGTCCAACTCTCTTCACCAGGGCAAGGAAATATAATCAATCCCTCCTGACAAAGAGCCATCCAGCCATAGATATAGATAGATAGATATGATTCACACACAGATATAGTATCATAGATTTGAAAGGGACCCCTAAAGAAGGACAATGATATGTTGCATGTTCCAGAGTAGGCAAACCAGACAATCTCTACATCAATACTGGCAAAGAAATGGCAAGAAATACTGTTTACCCACAAGCATCAAGCCCCCAGTGGCACAGTGGGTTAAACCCCTGTGCCGGCAGGACTGAAGACAGCATAACATAAAATTAACAACACAATATAAGCATAAAATTATCACAACAACACATATATATTAAAAATAATCCTGCTTGTTCAGAGCAATTAAAAGGCCGGGCTAGTGCCAACTCAAAATATGAGGGGACCAGGAATTTAGTACAGTGCTATAACAGGCTAACTGCAATAGCAGGTACAGGTCTGTGGCTGCACATTTCCAGGGCCTATTAGAGGGATGACTGGGGTAATAGTAGGAAGTAGAAGGCCATTGAAGTGACTGGATTGACCTTGAAGGAGCTGGGGGTGGTGACGGCCAACAGGGAGCTCTGGCATGGGCTGGTCCATGAAGTCACGAAGAGTCAGAAATGACTGAATGAATGAACAACAACAAAGAAGGCTATATTCAATAATGTTTTGGCTGAGCTAGAACTGGTCCTTCTCAAAGGTTTGTTGAAACCACCAGGTCTTCAAGCTCTTACGAAAGGAGGGGAGGGATGGGGCCTGTCTTATTTCCCTTGGAAGGGCGTTCCAGAGGTGGGGGGCCACCACCAAGAAGGCCCTCTCTCTTGTCCCCACCAACCATGCTTGTGATGGAGATGGGAGCAAGAGAAGGACCTCCCCAGAAGATCTTAGAGTTTGCACCGGTTCATAGAAGCAGATGCGATTGCAAAGACAGGCGGAGCCTGAACTGTTTAGGGCTTTATAGGTCATGACCTGCACCTTGAATTTGGCTCGGCAACTTATCGGCATCCAATGAAGCTGTTGTAATAGGGGTGTTGTATGCTCCCTATAGGTTTGCTCCTGTAAGGAGCCTGGCTGCTGCCCGTTGTTCCAATTGAAACTTCTGGGCCATCTTCAAGGGCAGACCCACGTAGAGTGCATTGCAGTAGTCCAGTCTGGATGTAACCAAGGCATGGGCCACCCTGGCGAAGTCAGACTTCACGGTGTGTGGTAGCAGGTGGCGCACAAGTTTGAGTTGTGCAAAGGCCCTCCTGGCCACCTCCGACACCTGAGCATCAAGAAATGAATCCAGGAAGACCCCTAAGCTACGGATTTGCGCCCTCAGGGGGAGTGTAACCCCGTTGAGCACAGGTTGCCACCCAATAACCCAGTCAGACCTCTGTCTTGTCTGGATTAAGCTTCACCCTGTTAGCCCTCATCCAGTCCATCACAGCTGTCAGATACTGGTTCAAGGTCTGGGAGATGGCACCCCACTCCAAAACATTTATTGCCTCCCAAAGCAAGAGGTTAGCTTAAGAGTTGGAAGGAAGGAAATATAGCCCAAAGCTCTTTTCTTGATCCTAAAACCACCCTTGTTTAATTGACAGAGTGATGAGCTCCCAGTTGCCTGTTCTGTGCAAGCTGCATCCTTCGTTGGTTGTGGAACTCTCCAAGCCGCTTCTGGAGTTTTCAGGAACAGTCACCAACATCCAGAACAAAGAGGATATCTTCACCCATGTGGTAAGGATAAACCTGCATGTGCCAGATACACATGCATGTACCCCTTTTCCTTGTTTCCATACATGTTGACATCCTGCTTAAGTGAAATCTATTTTTAAATTTCCAATTTGTATTGTCGAAGGCTTTCATGGCCAGAATCACTGGGTTGTTGTAGGTTTTTTCGGGCTATATGGCCATGTTCTAGAGGCATTCTCTCCTGACGTTTTGCCTGCATCTATGGCAAGCATCCTCAGAGGTAGTGAGGTCTGTTGGAAGTAGGAAAAAGGTTTATATATCTGTGGAATGACCAGGGTGGGACAAAGGACTCTTGTCTGCTGGAGCTAGGTGTGAATGTTTCAACTGACCACCTTGATTAGCATTTGATAGCCTGGCAGTGCCTGGGGCAATCTTTTGTTGAGATGTGATTAGATGTCCCTGATTGTTTCCTCTCTGTTGTTTTGCTGTTGTAATTTTAGATTTTTTTAAATACTGGTAGCCAGATTTTGTTCATTTTCATGGTTTCCTCCTTTCTGTTGAAATTGTCCACATGCTTGTGGATTTCAATGGCTTCTCTGTGTAGCCTGACATGGTGGTTGTGAGAGTGGTCCAGCATTTCTGTGTTCTCAAATAATATGATGTGTCCAGGTTGGTTCATCAGATGATCCAACAAATGCTACGTTCAGCAAAAGACAAAAGGGATCCTCTCACCTCTGCAGGAGTCTACCGTGTACCATGCAGCTGTGGACAAGAAGTCTCCATAGGGACCACCAAACGCAGCATTGCCCAGACACGAATCAAGGAACATGAAAGGCACTGCAGACTACTTTTCATCATCATCATTATCATCATCATTTAATAACTTATTAATCGCCCTCCATCCGAGAATGCTCCAGGCGATTTACAGCTAAATTACAAAAGATAAAATACATACAAAAATTAAAAATCAACAGATATCGAATGCTCTAGTAAAAAGCCAGGTCTTAAGTGCGAGAGTAAAAGGCCCCAAGTCACGCATGGCTCTCATGTAGGGCGGCAAGGAATCCCACAAGGCAGGGGCAGAAAGAGAGAAAGCCCATCTGTGCCTGGTCCTTTCCAAGGGCACTTCTCTAGGACCCGGTATATGGAGTAAGTCACGTTGGGCTGGTCGTTGCGACCTCCGATGATGGGAGAAGGAGAGGCGGTCCCTAAGGTACGATGGACCCTGGCCGTAAAGAGTTTTAAAGGTCAGAACTAGCATCTTATACAGGCCACGGTACTCAGTTGGAAGCCAATGTAAATGTTGCAGCACTGGTGTTATATGGCATTTCATGGGCGTTCTTGTGAGTAACCTGGCTGCCGCATTCTGAACAATACGAGCTTTCGGGTCGTAGACATCGGAAGGCCAACATACAGGGCGTTGCAATAGTCCAGCCTAGACGTGACCGTGGCATGGATGACAGTTGCCAGAGCCTCGTCAGATAGGTAGGGTGCCAGTTGCCTCGCTTGTCGTAGATGGAAAAAGGCCTGTTTGCTGGCAGCAGCGACCTGAGCTTCCATTGTCAGCTGCGAATCCAGGACGACACCTAAGCTCTTAACAGTGGTCGATGGAGATAGGGCGGCACCATCGAAGGTGGGTAACGGATGAGTCAGACCTGCCGGGTGGGCATGCCATAGAATCTCAGTCTTCGCTGGGTTCACCTTCAGTCTGCTAGCACGTAGCCAGTTCGACAGAGTTTCCAGACATAGGGTGAAATTGTCTGGAATTGACGTTGCTCCAGACGCAGAAGAAGTTGGGTATCGTCTGCATATTGGTAGCAGTCCAGGCCGAAACTCCGAGCCAAACTAGCAAGGGGTCTAACGTAGATGTTGAAGAGAAGAGGAGAGAGAATTGCACCTTGGGGGACCCCACATAGGAGGGGGATCTATCGGAGGCTTGATCCATGTACTCCACGCGTTGACTCTGGTTCCGGAGAAATGAGCTGAACCAATTGAGGACCTACTTCAACCAGAGAAATCAGCCATAGCAGAGCACCTGATGAACATTTGCTGTTTTGTTTTGTTTTGTTTTATTTACGAGTGTTTCTGGCATGGTAGTATGGAATTGTGGTCGCCCCTTTTCTCAGTGCCGCGTCTTCCTACAGGTGTGGGCCATTGGTGAATACGTGTCGGTCTTCCACGACAAGAGGTGCACAGCCGAGCAGATCAACAAGTACTTTGAAGTTCTGGAGGCCATGCTCTTTGAGATCACGCAGCTGCGCCCTTCGGCCACCGTCCCAAAGTACTCTCCCCGCATCATTGCTGTGCTGATGACCGCGCTGGCCAAACTCGCCTCACGCAGCCAGGACCTGATCCCAAGGTGAGAAATGTGGTCAACAGAGAAAAGCCAGGATGGCTTTCAGTGGCGTGTGACTCATATTATTATCCATGGTCATTGGCTAGCCCAGGCATGGGCAAACTTTGGCCCTCCAGGTGTTTTGGACTTCAACTCCCACAATTCCTAGCAGCCAGTAGGCTGCTAGGAATTGTGGGAGTTGAAGTCCAAAACACCTGGAGGGCCAAAGTTTGCCCATACTTGGTCTATGCTGAAAGTTGAGAGTCCAAAAATGTGTGGAGTTCCACAAACTACCCACCCTGAACTAGATCTGGGAATGGTGGATTCTGCCAGTCGTAGGATGATGGGAGTTGGAGTCCAGACTCAAAAAATTGCCGAGTCACTGACATTAAGTCCAGCCGTGTCCAACTCTGGGGGGTAGTGCTCATCTCCATTTCCAAGCCGAAGAGCCGGCGTTGTCCATAGACACCTCCAAGGTCGTGTGGCTGGCATGACTACGTGCCGGCCACATATAGTAATACTAAACCACTATAGTAATAGTACATTACAACTGTAGTTTCAATTCAATTCAAAGGTAAAGATTTCCCCTGACATTAAGTCTAGTCGTGTCCAACTTTGTGGGATGGTACTCATCTCCATTTCAAAGCAAGAGCCGGCGTTGTTCATAGACGCCTCCAAGGTCATGTGGCTGGCATGACTGCATGGAGTGCTGTTATCTTCCCAAAACGGGGTGACCAAGGAGGCAAAAGCAATATGTCAATGACATATAAGATGATGATATGATGGTAAAGGTAGAGGGAAAGGTTTCCCCTTGACATTAAGTCCAGTCGGGTCTGACTCTGTGGGATGATGCTCATTTCCATTTCAAAGCAAGAGCCAGCATTGTTCGTAGACGCCTCCAAGGTCACGTGGCTGGCATGACTGCATGGAGCGCTGTTACCTTCCCGCAGAAGCGGTACCTATTGATCTACTCACATTTGTGTGTTTTCGGACTGCTAGGTTGGCAGAAGCTGGGCCTAACAGCGGGAGCTCACCCTGCTCCCTGGATTTCAACTGCCGACCTTTTGGTCTGCAGTAATAGGAGCAACCCTAGGAACCATCCAGTCCACTATAGTAATAGTACATTACAATTGTAGTTTCAATTCAATTGAAAGGTAAATTGAAGCCAATTCCCATGCTGCTTTGCAAGGCCTTGCAAAAAGAACCTCAGGTCTTGGTTGTGTGGAGTCCTAGACATTGCTCCACTTGCAAAGTCTTGCAGAAAGAACCCCAGGTCTTGGTTGCGTGGAGTCCTAGACATTGCTCCACTTGCAAAGTCTTGCAGAAAGAACCCCAGGTCTTGGATGCGGGGAGTCCTAGACATTGCTCCACTTGCAAAGTCTTGCAGAAAGAACCCCAGGTCTTGGATGCGGGGAGTCCTAGACATTGCTCCACTTGCAAAGTCTTGCAGAAAGAACCCCAGGTCTTGGTTGCGTGGAGTCCTAGACATTGCTCCACTTGCAAAGTCTTGCAGAAAGAACCCCAGGTCTTGGATGCGGGGAGTCCTAGACATTGCTCCACTTGCAAAGTCTTGCAGAAAGATCCCCAGGTCTTGGATGCGTGGAGTCCTAGACATTGCTCCACTTGCAAAGTCTTGCAGAAAGAACCCCAGGTCTTGGTTGCGTGGAGTCCTAGACATTGCTCCACTTGCAAAGTCTTGCAGAAAGAACCCCAGGTCTTGGATGCGGGGAGTCCTAGACATTGCTCCACTTGCAAAGTCTTGCAGAAAGAACCCCAGGTCTTGGTTGCGTGGAGTCCTAGACATTGCTCCACTTGCAAAGTCTTGCAGAAAGAACCCCAGGTCTTGGATGCGGGGAGTCCTAGACATTGCTCCACTTGCAAAGTCTTGCAGAAAGAACCCCAGGTCTTGGATGCGGGGAGTCCTAGACATTGCTCCACTTGCAAAGTCTTGCAGAAAGATCCCCAGGTCTTGGATGCGGGGAGTCCTAGACATTGCTCCACTTGCAAAGTCTTGCAGAAAGAACCCCAGGTCTTGGATGCGGGGAGTCCTAGACATTGCTCCACTTGCAAAGTCTTGCAGAAAGATCCCCAGGTCTTGGTTGCGTGGAGTCCTAGACATTGCTCCAAATGGTTGTCGCCTTGCACACTCACCATATACTCATGCAGGGCCCACTGTTCTTTGAAATCTCCGCACAGGGTCTCCCTCTTCTTGTCCAAGCTGCGGACGTTTGTCCAAAGCCCGGCGGTTGTCTCCACCTACACTGCTGATGATGCCGAAGCGATCCTGACCCGAGCCACTGAGTTGATGAACTTGCTGAAAATGCCCAGCGTGGCTCAGTTTGTGCTGACCCCATCAGCAGAGGTCTCCAGCCCTCGCTTTCATCAGGACACACACACTTCCTTGCCTCTTGCCATGAAGACAACTACTCGACTTTTGGAAGGAGGAGAAGGAAGAGGAGCTGGCTCCGTTCCTGGTTGAGGCAGGGAAACCTGTGCCTTTCAGTCTGCTACATTCAAGATTCTTGGTTTTGGTGGGTATATATCTTAGCAGTCTGCATTTGGACATGAGCTGGATTGATCAAGAGAAGGACAGCTTTGTGAATGGTGCAAAGAAGTCAGTTTGGTTAAAGTGAACCATTTCCGTTCTCCAAACAGATTGGATTATCCATTTGTTTGGTTTGGCGGAGACAGACCTTGCTGAGTTCCTGGATACCTGGTGAGTCCCAGGCAGGTCTTGTTCTTTAATCTATCTAAATAAAAATGTAATGTTCGTTTGTGGGATTAACAGAACTCAAAAACCACTGGGGGAATTGACACCAAATTTGGACACAAGACACCTAACAGGCCAACACTGAAAAACACAGCAGAAGGGACTTAAAAATCCCCAAAAAGCTAAATGAGAAAAAGCTACATGACAATACAGAAAAAAGGAAGAAAGAGGGAGGGAAGGGGAGGGGGGAAAAAAGAAAGAAAGAAAGAAAGAAAGAAAGAAAGAAAGAGGGAAAGGAAAGGAAAGGAAAAAGGAAAGGAAAGGAAAGGAAAAAGGAAAGGAAAGCAAAAAAGGAAAGGAAAGCAAAAAGGAAAGGAAAGCAAAAAAGGAAAGGAAAGCAAAAAGGAAAGGAAAGCAAAAAGGAAAGGAAAGCAAAAAAGGAAAGGAAAGCAAAAAGGAAAGGAAAGCAAAAAGGAAAGGAAAGCAAAAAAGGAAAGGAAAGCAAAAAGGAAAGGAAAGCAAAAAAGGAAAGGAAAGCAAAAAGGAAAGGAAAGCAAAAAAGGAAAGGAAAGCAAAAAGGAAAGGAAAGCAAAAAGGAAAGGAAAGCAAAAAAGGAAAGGAAAGCAAAAAGGAAAGGAAAGCAAAAAAAGGAAAGGAAAAGAAAAGAAAGGAAAGGAAAGGAAAGGAAAGGAAAGGAAAAGAAAAGAAAAGAAAAGAAAGGAAAGGAAAGGAAAGGAAAAGAAAGCAAAGGAAAGGAAAGGAAAGGAAAAGAAAGGAAAGGAAAACAAAGGAAAGCAAATGAAAAGAAAGGAAAGCAAAGGAAAGGAAAGGAAAGGAAAGGAAAGGAAAGGAAAGCAAAGCAAAGGAAAGGAAAGGAAAGGAAAAGAAAGGATAGCAAAGGAAACAAAGGAAAAGAAAGGACGGAAGAGGAAGAAAAAAAAAGGAAAGGAAAAAGAAGGGAAGAAAAAAGGAAAGGAAGCAAAAGGAAGGAAAGAAAGGAAGGAAAGAGGAAAGGAAAAAAGGAAAGGAAAGAAAAGGAAAGGAAGGAAAAAAGGAAGGAGAAAAAAGGAAAGAGGAAAGGAAAGGAAAGGAAAAAGGAAAGGAAAGGAAAAAGGAAAGGAAAGGAAAGGAAAGGAAAGGAAAAAGGAAAGGAAAGGAAAAAGGAAAGGAAAGGAAAGGAAAGGAAAGGAAAAAGGAAAGGAAAGGAAAAAGGAAAGGAAAGGAAAGGAAAGGAAAGGAAAAAGGAAAGGAAAGGAAAAAGGAAAGGAAAGGAAAGGAAAGGAAAGGAAAAAGGAAGGAAAGAGAGGAAGAAAAAGGGAAAGAGAGAAGAGGGAGGAAGGAGGAGGGAAGATGTAGAGAAGAGAGGGAAAAGAAAGAAGGGAAAAGAGAGACAAGAGAGAAGAAAGGGGAAGGAAGGAAAGAGACAAGAAGGAAGAGAAGAAAGGAAGAGAGGAGAAGAAAAGAGGGAGTGAAGGAAGGAGGGAAAGAAGAAGAGAAAGAGGGAAGGTTGGCCACAGCAACGCGTGGCGTGTACAGCTAGTCAATTATATAATTTACAGGCTTCTTTTGCTACCATGTGGGCACCGTGTCCCAGTTCAGTGATAAGCACTGTTGGCTGGGTCTGGACTCTCATTCCTTTTCATGCTCAGACAAAATAAACACAATGGTACCTCAGGATAAAAAATGGCAAAGGCTGGGAGATGTTCCCTTTCTCTTTGAGACTTGGTGCATTGTAGCAATATGCAAGTGGAACAAGTTAATTTCAACTACTAGTGATATCTGTAGGCCAGGCATTCTTGTTGCTCCAGAGTCTGCCATATATTCAGAGATAGGAACTCAATGTACTTTGGGGGGGGGGGGATTACAACTCCCATAATTCCCATTCCGATAGATAGATAGATCTCTGTATTAGTTATGGGCCTGGTAACCGTTTCAGCCGTTTAATTCGTGTTTTCGTTTCATTCAGATGGCACAAAACGGCACACCCCCGTTTGGCACAGAAATATCAGTGAAACGAAAGGAAAGTGGGAACTTTAACCAATGTATTGGGGGGGGGGGGATTACAACTCCCATAATCCCCAAGGCCACATGTTGAATGGAAGCCTTGAGGAGCTGCATTCAAAAAAATTATATCTCTGTATTAGTTATGGGCTCGTTAATCGTTTAAGCCATTTAATTCATGTTTTCGTATAGTTTGTTTCATTCTGATGGCACAAAACGGTACACCTCCCTTTGGCACGGAAATATCAGTGAAACAAAAGGAAAGTGGGAACTCTAACCATAATTTTTGACTCTTGGCTGCAGGCACTGGTGCTTTGGACTTGCACACCACTACTCTCTTTCCAACGAATGTGTGTGTGTGGCTTGCAAGCCCATAGGCTTGGTTGATCTGGTTCGGAAGCTTCTAAAATCGGAATGAATTCGTATTAAAATGAAACAATTTCGAGCCATGCTGGAATAGTGTGAGGAGTAATTACGAATTGAAACAATTTACCCATTTTTCGGAATTATTTTCGGATGTCTGGTGCAAACTTTACAATCTCGCAGTTTCCCTGGCCTCCCTGGCGACAAGCGGCGATGCAGAAGGGTGAGGTGGGCGTGGTTATGCCACGCCCCCAGTGGCCGTCAAGAAGAGCTGGGCGTAGCCACGGCCACCTCATTCCCCTGCCATCCATCGCCCTTCGCAGTCGCCCAGGGAAGGGAAACTGCGAGATTTTAAAAGTAATCTCACAGTTTCCCTTCCCTGGGTGACAGTGAATGGCAATGGGTGGCAGGGGAATGAGGTGGCTCCCGGTCCAAATCCACGTCCTGGACAAGAACGACAATGCCCCCACTTTCGGCCACAGCGAATACAGAGTCTGGATGAGAGAAGACGTGGCGGATAGGCAGCTCCTTGTGCCAACTTTTGGCTACGGACCCCAATTCGGGCACCAATGGTGAGGTGCATTACAGCCTCCGCTGCCTTGGAATGAGAGAGTGTGTGGCTTGCAGGCCACCAATTAGATGAAAATATTCCATTTTTTCAGATTTGGGATGAAAAAGCTCATTTGGAACGGCGCCCATTTTTGGGAGAGGTGATGGAAAATGAAAATGGAGCCTTACGAATGAAACAAACAGAAATGGATAGTATTTATTTATTTATTTGTCGTGTCAGGGAAACCAGTCAATTGTATTACATTTCTAACAGAACAAAGCAAACAAACAGACAAAATACAAAATTTGTGAGTTTGGTAGTTGGTTAAATGTCCTTTGACCAGAATCTGGCCACTTGGAGTGCTTCTGGTGTTGCCGCAAGGAGGTCCTCCATGGTGCATGTGGCAGGGCTCAGGGTGCATTGCAGCAGGTGGTCTGTGGTTTGCTCTTCTCCACACTTGCATGTCGAGGATTCCACTTTGTGGCCCCATTTCTTGAGGTTGGCTCGGCATCTCATGGTGCCAGAGCGCAGTCTGTTCAGCGCCTTCCAAGTCGCCCAATCTCTGTGTGCCCAGGAGGGAGTCTCTCATTTGGTATCAACCATTGATTGAGGTTCTGGGTTTGAGCCTGCCACTTGGACTCTCGCTTGCTGAGATGTTCCAGCGAGTAGATCTTAGAAAACAATTTTTTGATTTAAGTCGTTGGTGCTGGGTGATACCCAAACAAGGGATGAGCTGGAGATGTCTCTGCCTTGGTCCTTTCACTATTGGCTGCTACTTCCCGGCGGATGTCAGGTGGTGCAATAGCTGGCTAGACAGTGTAATTTCTCCAGTGGTGTAGGGCGCAGACACCCTGTGATAATGCGGCATGTCTCATTAAGAGCCACATCCACTGTTTTAGTGGTGAGATGTGCTCCACACTGGGCATGCATACTCAGCAGCAGAGTAGCATAGCGCAAGGGCAGATGTCTTCACTGTGTCTGGTTGTGATCCCCAGGTTGTGCCAGTCAGCTTTCGTATGATATTGTTTCTAGCACCCACTTTTTGCTTGATATTCAGGCAGTGCTTCTTGTAGGTCAGAGCACGGTCCAGAGTGACTCCCAGGTATTTGGGTGCGCTGCAATGCTCCAGTGGGATTCCTTCCCAGGTGATCCTCAGAGCTCGGGATGCTTCTCTGTTCTTGAGATGAAAGGCACATGTCTGTGTTTTAGGTGGGTTAGGGATCAGCTGGTTTTCCCTGTAATAGGCAGTAAGAGCACCTAGAGCTTCGGAGAGCTTCTGTTCAACCATTTCAAAGCTCCCTTCTTGAGCAGTAGGTAAAGGTAAAGGTAGTCCCCTGACATTAACTCCAGTCATGTCTGACTCTGGGGTGTGGTGCTCATCTCCATTTCTAAGCCGAAGAGCCAGCGTTGTCCGTAGACACCTCCAAGGTCATGTGGCCGGCATGACTGCATGGAGCGCCGTTACCTTCCCGCCGGAGCGGTACCTATTGATCTACTCACATTTGTATGTTTTCGAACTGCTAGGTTGGCTTGAGCAGTAATGGATAGTAGGTAAAGGTAAAGGTAGTCCCCTGATATTAAGTCCAGTCATGTCTGACTCTGGGGTGTGGTGCTCATCTCCATTTCTAAGCCGAAGAGCCAGCGTTGTCCGTAGACACCTCCAAGGTCATGTGGCCGGCATGACTGCATGGAGCGCCGTTACCTTCCCGCCGGAGCGGTACCTATTGATCTACTCACATTTGTATGTTTTCGAACTGCTAGGTTGGCTTGAGCAGTAATGGATAGTAGGTAAAGGTAAAGGTAGTCCCCTGACATTAAGTCCAGTCGTGTCCGATTCTGGGGTGTGGTGCTCATCTCCATTTCTAAGCCGAAGAGCCAGCGTTGTCCGTAGACACCTCCAAGGTCATGTGGCCGGCATGACTGCATGGAGCGCCGTTACCTTCCCGCCGGAGCAGTACCTATTGATCTACTCACATTTGCATGTTTTCGAACTGCAATGGATATGGATATGAAATGGATAGTAATTCTATACAAATGCACAAGATTACTCTGTATCTGTCAGGAATTTCTCAGGAAATTGGCCCAAATGGAAAAGGATCCCTAAAGAGCAAAAGTATGGAAACCACCATGGTTTTTATTCTGAGGAT